TATGAACTATTATGACTTCCACATTACTGATAAAGAAACTGAGATCAACCTAGGTTAAATAATTTATCTTAAGATAACAGCTAGGGATTAGTAGAACCAGAGAAAAATCCAAGTCTCTGACACAAAAGGCTGTCCTCTTATACAACAAGATATATTGAAGTTCTAGCCAACAGAAAAACAGTAGAAAAATAAATATGACTCAAAGAAAGAAGACATGGAGTCGTTAACTGAAGATGTAATGGTTACTTTAGTGGATTATTGAATGCCAAAAAACTAGTCCAAGACAATCACGACATTCTAATTCTCTCTGCAATGACTGGTTTAGGAATAGGCAGGCAGTCCACTTGTGGTCACTAAGAACCAAGAGGTAAGAGGCTGGTAATTTCTGGGCAAGGCAAGGTTTTCTCACTTAAAGATAGATATAACCTTCTGAGCCTTACATTATCTAAACTTGACTCCTGCAATGTCCATAGCAATCTTGCTATAGGCTTACAATGAAGTGCAGGCTCAGAAGAAAGCCAAGTCAGGAGAACCACAGATAAGTAGGAGGTGGAGATTAACACACCCAGCCTCCTCCTTTGCATCCTCTGAACCTCTTGCTCAATGTGACATGACAAGTGTGTCAGTCCGAACCAAGATTTTTATAACCTGTACCCAGAAGCTAACCACATAATGCAGGAGGCTATACTATTTCCTCCTCTAGAAACCTACTGAAAAGTTCTCATATTTGATTTTTTTAAATGTAAGAATTCTTATAAAGGAAATACAAATATCACAGTAGTTAGATCAGAAACAGGGAGTAGAATGGTAGTTACCACAGGGGGTGTTCAATTGATGTAGAGCTTAAAGAGATCCAGAGATCTATTGCAAAACACCGCACATATACTTAATACTACTGACACACACTTACAAATGGTTATGATGGTAAATTATAAAGTTTTTACTACAATAAAAAAGAAATACCATTAATTCTACTCATCAATAATAATAAATGTATTTCAAATAGATTAAAGAGTAAAATATTGCTAGTTTCTTAATTATTCACTTATAAATGTTTAGGATTCTGAATGCATCTCTGAGGAATAGTGTAAAGGGTGAAAGAAGAAAAAGAAGAAAACTTAATAAATTTACTACATATTCACAATAAAATATTTTCATAAAACCCATAGTCAACATTTACTTTCAAACACCTTGAAATATATTTAATGTATGAAAACAGGTAACATTTCCTTGCTGCCACAGCATGGCTCAGCCCTGGGGATTGATCTATCAAAGGGAGCTGGGGTCTTACTCTGAGCCCTACCCCTTGCCTAATTCTTAAAACACTCAAAGTATATCCTCCGCTAAGGGGAGAGATTTGTTCATCAACCATTCCACTACCAGGAAAACTGGCCTGCCCAACACTAGAAATGATTATCATAATAGTAAATTAAAGAGCTTAGCAGAAAATCAATAATCATGGAATTAGGGAGATTGGGAAACAGAGCGTAAGAAAGGGTGGAGGAAAGAACTACAAAACTTAACAAAAGAAAGGAATAGTTGCAGAAAAAAACATGAAGAAAGAAAGAAGTAAATCAATCTGGTGAAGGCAGAATGGCATTCTCACTAGTGTATGAGAAGCCTGGAGTGGCGGAGATGGCCTTGAGCCAGGCCAGGGGAAATTAATTCTGATTCTCAGAAAGGTAAATCTTGATCTATAAACACTTGGATTTAAAGAAAACACGAATTTTGAACAAAAATACAGATTACTGAAAGATCTAAAATGTTATTATCTTTATTATTTTTTCTATTATCAATTACTGAAATAAATTATTATACCAAACCACAGTGCCAACAAAACCATCTTAGATTCAAATAATGAAGTGACTGTTTAATACAGCCTTAAATGATTCATTTCTGTGGATGAAAGTCATTTTTTGTGGGGTATGTCTATGTTTTCTTTTTGGTGCTGGCGAATGGACCCGAGGGACATGCTAAGCACACACTCTATCACTGAGCCAAGCCACACCTCAAGCCCCCAAAACACTAAAGAAAAGAATGATTATAGTGTATGTGCTAAGGGAGCACAGAAAAGAATGATTATAAAGAAAAATATAACTCCACAGTAAGTCAGCATATATGTAAAAAACTTATATTCACCAAATTTCTTTTATAGTCATCCTAAGAAAAACTGCTATTGTTTCTACATTAACTTTTTTTCCCCCTAAAATGCTCCACTATCACTTTACTATCCAAATACTGTGGGTACATATTATTGTCTTTTTCCAAGTCATAAATGATGAAAGAGTAAAACCCACAGAGAAATTGAGAAAATAAGATCAGTAGCCAAAACAAGCAAAACAGAGGAAAGGCTGTGGGCTACTGGTCTGAAAGTAAAAACATTACATGAACACATCCACAGCAGAGCACTGTGGAGCCACTCCATTCCCAATCCAATTATGAAAACGTGACTCAGAAGTCAAAATGTGAGGACTCAAACACCATACATCAGCTTTGATGAAGTATGTTCAGAGACCTCTTTAGCAAGCAAGCAAAAATAACAATATTCACACTAGCTAAAGAAAACTGTGTTTTGTCCACAAGATCAAATATATTCTGCTGGATACTGTAGATGTCTGCTGTTACGGGTTGTATTAATTTTACGATAATCTGGCCTACTCAGTAAGTCAGAAGCTCAACAGGAAATAAACTCACCAAAAGTGAACTCAACAAAATTTTGTTTTGTAGGAAATATACGCACAAAATCTGTCTAACTGAAATTTTGACCTGTATATTTCATTAATAGAAATTTTCTAACTTCCAAAAGACAATTCAAAAATAATATATTTTAAATTATTAGTATAACAATTATCAAATTTATAATTTTAGAGAGAAATTATGCAAAAGACACATAAAGGAAGATGAAGTCAATAAGAAATATACTGAAAGTAGCACCAAAAGCAAACATGAAAGGCATACTTTCTGGGATTAAGGAATTATTCAATATTTTTACAGACCATCCATTTGTTAAAACTATACAAGTAACATTTGTCTCTTTGTGTATGTAAATTTTACCTGAAATAATCAACAAGTTAGTAAAGTAAGGACTAAGTAGAGATAAAGATGAAAAAAGGGAAATGCATTTTTTTATGGTTGTGAAGCTGGGTAATGAGTATAAGGGAACATACAGAATTCTGGGTTTTTTTGCATAAGTTTAAAATTCTGTATAATAAAAAAATTAAAACTTAAAAAATGTTTCCAAAGAATATTTAATGAACAGAAGAAATATTCATAAATTTTTAAAAAATCAAATTATATTTCCAGTTTGAATCTAGTTATGTAAAGTGTATCTACTACATGTATGTACACTACAAAAATTTGTATACTTCAAAGGGAGGATATCAAGATGCTAAAAGTGATTACTGCAGAACAGTGGGATTACAGATAATTTTTATCCTTTATCTTTCAGAGTCTTACCTGGAATAAGTCAGCACCTCGTGAAAATAACATACAGTTTCTTAAAAATCAAACCAATTGATCTTTAGCTACACTTATAACTTCTAAATAAGAAAGGTTCAAATAACTGAAAGTAAGGCAATCATGATATAGAGATTGCATTCATCAGAAGAATAACAAAAAATAATGCAAGGTATGAAATTCAGGTTCCAAAACCAAAGCTAGGACCTCTTCAGCACACATGTTCAATAGCCTTGGTGGAAACAGAGCCATAATGATGAAAAGATTCTTTGTGTTTCCCCAAAACATAGCCACTAACCACATGTGGTTACTAAGCACTTGAAATATGGCTACTTGACTGGCTTTTAGTTTACTTTTAATAGCCATCTGTGGCTAGTGGCTATCTGTTGCCTGGAAATTTTCATTCTTTACCTTTTTAAACCAAAACAAAACAACCAGCAGATTCATGGTCATACTGACCATTTCCCCCTCCTTCCAGTCACGGAGTAATTCACTAATATTTGGTATCCTTTCATTTCTCCCTAGATATCTACCAAACCATAACTTTAAAAAAAACTGCACATTAGGATTCTTGTACTTTCTCTTGAGAAACAGAACAAATAAAGCATAGTAGCCATAGAAGATACTCATATAACCTAAATCCAATGGGTTTCTCTTCTATTTGCTTCCTCAGGGATAATGTTTCTAGTTTGTGCTTTTCAGAGCTATATGGTCACCTCCTCCATTTTTTTCTTTTAATCTTTGTTCATCTTCTTTTGAAAAGCAAAAGGAAAATAAATAGAAGTACCATAATGTTATCAACAGTATGACTCCCTCCTACAAGGATTAATCTGGCAAGTGTATCTCCATAACTAATAAATAATCCGCTAACTTTGAACCATGAGTGCCACTGACATTTTGTTTTTACTTACCTTGGTATAAACCATGTTTCCCCTTTCACCTGGTCACTTGGGAGCTAAAAGGTATAGTCAGGGTTTGCAAACAGCTATCTCAACCTGATGTTAATTCCTTCTTGAAACTTACAGTTTCTAATATAGATATATAGATATATAGATCTCTGCATAGGCTTATTCCTAATTTAATACCACACCAAATCTCAAAAATTTTTTCAACACTAACAAAGTAATGAAACAGAAATAATATAAACTACTTAAATGGATTTCCCATCAGATATTAGAATACCTTCTTACTCCTTCTCACATCTGAATTAAAGAGATTTTCATCCTTTTTTCCTTTCTGGATTTTAAAAAACTTGTTTGAACACAATATATATGCAATACCATATTTAAACAATGTAACTTTATTATAGTTCTCCAAAGATCCACAAAAAGATCTAATACTGAAATCAACCAGATCTTTTATTTCAGATGCAGATTAGACCATAAATATTTTCTGCTCATTTATTCTGTTTTGTTGGAGATTTTTTTGGTTTTGTTTTTGGTACCCGAGACTGAACTCAGGACCTTGCACTTGCAAGGCACGCGCGGTGCCATTGAGCTAAATCCCCAGCCCTCACTTATTCTGTTTTAAAGGATCCACCATACCTTGAATGTCCTTGGAAATGCTGTGCTCGTAACTGGGATGCCACAAACAATGATGACGCTACTGCCAATAACTGGTTTTTCTCACTCTCTGTTAACGTGTGTCCTGAAGGAAATCAATGAATCAGTCAATCAGCCATATATGTAATACTAACATTGAGGCTTCTGACTTATAGATTTACAAGCCATTCAAACAAGCATGTTGTCAAGCTCCTATTATGAAGTTGGTATTGTACGAGGCACAGGAAACAGCAGTGCGAGACTATTCAATAAGATAAATCTTGCTCACTGAAAGTTTGTTGTCTATATTGGGAAGGAAGATCTTAAATATATACATGGAATAAAACAATTATAAATAATAAGCATACCTACAGAGATCTCCAGGAAAAACTTCAGTTCCCCACATTATCTTCCCCACCCAAAATTTTCTTTTAAGGAAAGTGAAAGTAAAGGGCCAGAAGCTCCAATAGCTGCAAAAGTAGTAATGCTACTCAAGACCATGAACAAGGCCATGTTTTCTAGTGCAAAGGATTCAGAGAAAATAAAGGTGCATTTCTCTAGCCTCTGTGCATGCAGTCAAGACTTGAAGCCCAATCAGTCAAGCAACTAATTTCTCTCCCTCATTCTCTTTTCCCACTGTAATGCCGCTGGCCCTGGTGCCGTGCTAGCCTAGGAAGGCCTGCAAAGACCACCTGGTGCAGCTGCATGCAGAGAGGGAACCTGCTCCATTTGCAGAGTTCCACGAGAAGTGGGTGTGCAACAAGGAAGGATTCAGATAGTCCAGGGTCTGCAGGTTAACACATCCCTCCAGAACTCTGTAATCACATCAAAATTTCTAATGCTATTTATCACACTACTCTATAAAGATAGCACAGTATTAAATGGCATAGTAAGAGCAATTTGAATGCTGGATCAGCAGCAGTAAGATGCTACTTATAAAATTCAAAAAGAGGGAAAAAAAGTAGTTATTTAAACTTATTTGAAATAAATTAATCAGACACTAGATCTAAAAATCACTCAAAATAAAATTATAAATATTTTAAATTAACATATGAACATTTTCAAGATCTGTAGCACATGTTTCTATACAGGGAGGTGCTTCATGAAACCCAAGGGTAGGGAAAACCCAAGTAATCCAACCCTCTGAGTAAAACCTAGAAGCTATATACACCCTAGTACAAATGTGGGATCTCGCAACTGGTTCTGGGACTTTAATCACAGGTCCTCTAGGTGGGTGGCCTCATAAACCACACTATTAAAGGCTTTGAAAGTTCCTGACTTTCTCCATACACTGGAGCACCGATGAAGACATCTCACATGATTTCATAATTAACTACCCTATATTAGAGTACTACAGAAATTACAGTTCTCTAAGTGAGGCCCATGGATGACTGAGGATCCCTCGGAGCCTTTCATGGGCCAGCAAGATCAAAACTATTTTCCTAATAGTAAGATTTATTAGCTTTTTTGTTTTGTTTTTAAACTCCTATTTTCTGTGGTGAATACTGCAAAGGTTCACAGATCCCAGGAACACATGTATCAATGTACATCACTGTTCTCATGTCAACACATAACAGATTAACTGTCATTCCTTTTTAAATGAATTAGTAAATAAATATTTCATAGTTTACAATGTGGCAAATATCATCCAATTTAATCACAAAGCTTTCCAGTGCTTAAAGATCAATGCTTCTCAAAAGTCACTGGGCATCTAATCACCTGATTAAAGCCCAGATTCCTGTATTTCTCTTGAAGAGACTGGCAGAAGGAATGGAGTGGGGCCTGCTATGTACATTTTTAACAAGCTCCAGAGTGAGTCATCAAGATCAATCAAGTCATAGGGTCTCATTCTCAAAAAGAACTCATGTTTCAGAGTCATGATTACTAAGCTGTGTAAAGTAACCAGGAAGAGAAATTATCAGAGCACTTTGAATACAATATGTTTCATGAAAACTGTGTGTGTTGGGGGGTACATTTGAATTCAGGATGTAAAATGTATTTCTTCTGGTGATTCACAGTCAAAATACATGTACTTTTTCAGATACATATGCACAAAACATCATCAGTGAGAGAAAAGGCATCATACTACAGGACTCTAACAGCAAAGCAACCACTATTTCACTTGGTCTAATCAATTGCTAATGCACTGAATGAGAGCAATACCAAGAAAGTGGTTTCTCAAATAAAATTGACCATCATCCAATCATATCTCTTGGGCAAACTGATATGATGCCTATCAAGTCATTTCATTGAGTTTCCACTTCAAAAGGTATTCAGGGCCAAACAGGTCATTTATAAGACAACTGATCACAACTGACATTCTTAGAACAGTTCTAACACAACGCTATTCCTGATCACATACCAGAGTGACTTTAACTCCTGTACGTTCCCCTGGTGGCCTCACAACAGAAGAGCATGTCTGCCCTTGGACTGCTTCCCATGGTGACAGTGTGCTAGCCTGGTGTCCAGTTAAACTCATCTGTATTACATTCTTGGCTCCAGACTAACAAGGTAAGACAAAGGCACTTCGTTTGGTTTTCAGAACAGGATCTCATCCATAAATAACCTTTGGAGGTACCATGAAGGGAGTTGAGAACATGTGCCAACTGCCAAGCCACAAAAATGGAAGTCCCAGTAGGGCAGCAAATTCTTCTGCTTACTGAGCAAACCTGTACACCTAGAACTTTGAGGCATAGTGTGTATTTAGATGCCTTCAGACTCTTCCTATCCCTTTTTGCAAGTGTGAACATAAACTAGAGACTTCTGAAGGGCTCTGCAGTGATAATGAATTACTCATTTTGTTCCCTAGCTCAAGAGCCAACTTTCTTAGGTTGCAAACTCAGTAAAGAATCATCTTTCAGCTTTTCATTTTCTAAAAGGCTATTTCCTTGTGGGCTTGTGTCTTCAAAAAATTCAAGTTAGTGGGGATTGGGGTGGGGGAAATGTGCATATTTAAGCAATCATCTTTACTTAAAAATTAGCTTAAGTGGGCTGGAGATTTAGCTCAGTGGTTCTGCTGCCTGGCTCACAAGCGCAAGTACCTGAGTTCGATCCCCAGGTACCGGAAAAAAAAAAAATTAGGGGCCAGGGATTTAGCTCAGTGGTTCCGCTGCCTGCCTCATAAGCGTAAGGACCCGAGTTTGATCCCTGGTACCAAAAAAAAAAAAAAAAATTAGCTAAAGTAATTTCTTCAGCAGTTTCCTTGGAATGAATATAGTATATATAGTGAAATGTATCTAAATCCTTATTCATTTGAAAATACTTTTAAAAAAATACTGATAGGGCCAGAGATGTAGCTCAGTGGTGCCATGCCTGCCTGGCAAGCTCAAGGTCCTGAGTTCGATCCCAGGTACCGAGAAAAATATATAAATACTGATAAAATGACGGATCTTAGGTATAGCACTCTTGAGTCAAGTTCTTTCCTATGCACATCTTAAGTTCTCATCCAATTTATATAATCAGAAGATGATCTCACTAAACATTCTTAACATTCTTTGCATACGACTTTTCTTTCTTTCTAGAAGCTTTAAGTCTTTTGTTCTTGATATATCCAGAGGAGTAACTTTTTTCTATTAATCCTCTCTGAAACTCAGGGAGTTTGCAAGGCTTTCTTAACAATAATGATAAAAGATTTCCCTATTCTTTCTTTTAAAGTTACCCTTCATTTATCCATTTTTCTTTGCATGAAATTCCTATTTATATATTCACTTACATATAACATCTTGGACCTTCCTTCTATATCTCTTATTTTGTGAATAGTTTTTTTCTTTACTTTTTTGCTACATGTTTTGGGATATCTCTTCCATTTATTATCTTGAGTCACTGATCTGGTTCCTAGCAGTGACCAATTAGCTCTCACTTTGCGGAAATGTTTTATTTCTAAATATCTCCATTTTAGTTCAAGTCTTTCTCCTCTAATTTAACGCCATTAACTGCTCTGTTTTTCAGTAAGCACTAATCATCTCCCTCCCCCACCAGCAGTTCTAAAACTGAGCACCACCTGTCCTCAAATTCTACATCTTTCTCCCTAGATGGGTAATCCTTTTCCTTCTTGCACTAGTGGCTGTTTGCTTTCAATACTCAGGTCAAAAGGTTAGGCAGTGGTTTGATGGTAAATGTTTACCAATCAACTAGGGTATGGAGGAAAGAGAAAAGCCCCAGTATGCAGCATTTGCTAATTTCCTTAGAGTAGGTAGTATATTCCTGGCTGGTTTCAAACCACCAATATGCATCCAAGTGGATGGTTGACGAAGCTACGCACACGTGGCTCTCACACACGGGACACCAGCCCCAGTATGCAGCCATCAGAGGCCTCAGAGAAGTGCTGCAGTCATCTTAGATGCCACCTCATGCTTCAGACAAATGTGAGTCCTTACATCAGACTGGCTTCTTTTTTTTTCTGCTCTCCAAACATTTTGGTTGTCTTTACTCAGCGCTTATTCTATCCTGCAGTGCTGTTAGTTCTTCATCTGCATATTTTTGTGATGTTAGCTCCTTAATGACAGGAAAAATGTGCTATCTCTTTGATTTCCTTCTAGAGATGATACTCATTATTTGTTGAATTACTTTATTGACAGTCCAAATAGTGTAATACCACTTTTAAAGGTTTAAAAATATTTGATTAAGTTCAGTGGGAAAAAAGAAAGTAAAATTCATTATACACTTTTTGTGTTAGATCCAAATTTTACCAAAAATCTGTAATTTTCCAAAATAAAAAGATAATTCTAGTCATTTCTTTTGATGGGGCTTGAAGTTGAAGTGTAGAAAGGTAATAAAGAAACAATTCCAAACTGCTTATTACAGACTAAATTAACCACCTTAAATTATCTTCATTTTCCTTTTTTTTTAGAATGAAAATATCTCCTTCCTCACTTTCCATGTATTTTTCAGAATCAAAGGAAAGTAGTTTTTCAACTAGAATCTAAAAGGTTGACAAGAACAATCTTTTGTGTATTCTAATTTTTAACTTGTGACATAGTGATTTCAGGGTTTATATCTAAGAAACTTTAGTAAAACTGTCCTAAATCTACAAATAGATTTGGGGAAGTAAATGCATGTAACAGAAAATTTTATTCATAAAGACAGGCGCTTGCCTATGAATAGTGCCTAGGAGACCAGGACAGATGGGAAGCAGATGGGTAATCCCAAAGGGGCAAAATGACTCAGCCTCAAACATATTGAGAAGATCCTGGATTAACTTCAGTTGCCACTTCCTGCTGTCTCTTTCGGGCACATGTATCAAACAGTCAAAGATGATAGTTTAATATATCTGAGATTTGCTCTAGGGAAAAAATGGAGAAGGAAAAAATGAGAAAGAACAGGAGAGAGTAGCCATTCAGAGAAAACTTAACTGACATAAAAATAATATGAAAGAATTAAGTAACAGGCAGATATCAAATATAAGTGTACACTTTGAAAGTCCTCAGGGCCACACGACAACATGAAGCGTGCTCCAGTGATGGGTTTAGTGACTTATGAATTTGAATCCTAGCATAACTAAAAGCATACTCATTACTCACACTGGAAATGAAAAATCCTAGGACAAGGATGGGAGATTAAGCTCAGTGGTACAGCACTTGTTTGGCATGTGCACGGCCCTGGGTTCAATTTCCTAGCACTGCACACACAGAAAAAACACAGAAGGAAAGAAAGAAATCCTGGGATCAATTCCTAGCTTTCTTATTTCACAGGTCATTTAGCTTTATCAATCTGAGTTTTTGCCTCCTCATGTGGAAAATGAGAGCTGAGGCTAAATAACTGCAAAAGGTTCTTTAATGATTTAATGATATATTTATTATTAATTCTTTTATGACAATTAATTTTTCTTTAATGACAGTTAAAAAGACTATGTTGCTCAGCACTGTAGTACATACCTATCTATAATCCTAGCACTCTGAGAGGCTGAGGCAGGAGGATCACAGTTTATTTAGAGCGCAACCTGGGCAATTTAGTAACTTATCAAGAACCTGTTTCAAAATAAAAAGGGCTGGTATGTAGCTCAGTGTGAAGGCCCTAGATCAATTCCTACTACCTCTTTAAAAAAAAAGTTTCTACGATAAGCATAAGAAATAAAATTATGGTGTCTATGCTAATAATTCCTTATCAAAAAAGAAATGTAATGTGTTTCGTATATCATATGTCATGGAAAACTGCAATATATAGGTTTTAGGTTTTAATTACATTTGAATAAATTCTGAGTTTGAAGGGGATTTCCTTCTCTAGAGAATCTGGAACATCTTCTAGTGTTGCTAAACACACAGTAATCATAGTACACAGTCATCAACCCCATCAGAAGTCTTAAATGCCTCATGTCCATCTCCTACGGGATATTTTACCATATATACATAAATACTCATATTTCAATGTATGTGTATATACCCATATAATAGGCTTATTCTAAAGGTTCCTTGAAGATTTTACCTGTTTCCTCCTTTTGCCTACTATTTCTTATCATACCACCCTCACAGACACACTAGGTAGGCAGACAGAAAAGCATATGGAAGTCCCAAGTTCACCTCAAAACTTGCTGTAACTTTTACTTAAACTTTGGAAAAGACAAGAGGCTAAAACATTAGAATCACAACAGAGTGAACTGCTTATTGGGTATATGTACAGATAATTAAAAATATCCAAAGTAATCCCTTCTCATCAATACTACAGGTAAAAATATTTTCATTACTTCAACAAATGTTTGCTTAGTGTCTACTACGATTTGTTGCTAGGGACACAATAGTAAGCAATGATTTAAATGGTTGTGAACTCAGGAACCAAGTGATATTAACGAAGTAATCATACAAGTATAAAATTGAATCATGTTAACAATGTATTTTATTCTGCATTTTTAAACATTCAAGGTTCAGGGAAAAGAACCTAATGAATCATTAGCCTTTGTTTTAGGAGCTCAAATGAAAGAAATTCTTCATTTCTCTTTATACTAATAATAAAATTCTAAAACTAAAGTAGTGAAAAAAATATTCAAATCACTTATTTCCTGTTAATCTCACAAACCTGCTGTAAATTCTGAATTAAAAACTTCATTCAACAGCTCAGCTATATGAGACTACACATAGCTCCTAACATCACGATGTAAGTCACTTAATATACTAAAATAGTATAAACGGAAGACTGACTAACCTCCACACATTCCTAAATTCATTAGACTTTGATACAGAGGCTTCTGGTTTCCACCTCATATACATGGAGTCTCAGCCAAGTCCTATAGGCTTTTTTAATTGTTGGTGGTGTTTGTCTTTCTTTTTTTTGGTACTGGGGATTGAACTCGGGACCTTGTGCTTGCAAGGCAGACGGAATCACTGAGCTAAATCCCCAGCCCTCCTATGGGTTTCTTGATAACATACATTAGCCACATTTCAATGCTCACTAAATGGTGTCCTCTGTCTCTCACGTGGCCAACCTTTTTTTTCCTCTGAGACAGGGTCTTGCTATGTAGTTCAGGCTGGCTTGAACTCACTATATAGCCCAGGCTGGCCTTAAACTTGTGGCAATCCTACATAAGCCTCCTTAGTGCTGGGATTACAGGTATGTGCCACCATGTCCACCTGGTCAACCATTTTTCTATAACTTCCCAGTGCTAAATTTTACATTCCACTCATTTCTTTATTTATAAACTTTGTCAAACTAAAAAACCATCATCTCTTAGCTATCTTTATTTTAATTGATTTTCTCAAATTTTCAATGTCATTTACATATATGAAGAGATCCTGTATATACTCATATCAGAAGGGAATATAAATCTGATTTGACTTTCAGAAGCCAGAAGAGTAGGTAGGCCAATGTCTGCCTACATGTTTTGCCCATATACTAAACTCTCAGAACATTCAACATAGTTGAATTCCTTACTCAACAGAGCTGCAGATTATTACATTAATGACTCACACATGAATGCTTAAAATCATGACTGTCTATAGTCTAGGGTACTCCAAATGTGTAAGTCAAGGATAATATAAGGCCTTCATTTCAAAACAAAAAATTTATACATTTAATAAAATATAAAATAATAATATAAATAACTAAAATTTTTCAATACATACAAACCTTTAAAGCCATCGGGATACACATCAGAGAGAAATTTAGTGCTGAAATCTCCTTTTACAAAACGTGAGTTGATTATCACCTCTCGGAGTAATGCAATGTTATGCGTAACACCTTAAAAATAAAATCATATCAGGTTGAACTGAGGAACAAAAAGTCAGATAAAAATCTAATTCTTATAATTTGGAGAAATTTGTTATTAGTGTATGATGATCTAGAAGGAACTATACAAGATTTCTTATCTCTTTGATTTTAAGTAACAACAAATACCTGAACAATAAAACATTAACTGTAAACCAAAGGAGCTTGTTACTGCCAAGTCAATTCAGTGTGAGAAATAAATGACTTTTCAATAAATGGCACTAGAACTACTGGATATCCATTTGGAAGGAACAGAGGGAGAGAGGGCAGGAAGAAATGAACCTCACCCCAACTCATACCATAAATAAATGTTTAATACTGAGTAACTACTTTGAAGATAACAATAAACAGTACAATAACTATTGCTATTCTCTTATTATCTGGTTATAAAAATTTGCTTTATTTTTTCATAAAAGAAAAAAATTAACTCAAATTGATTACAACTCAAGATGTGAAGCCTAAAATGAATTTAAGCCTTATAGAAGAAATACAAATCTGTGTTACTTTGAGGTAGACAACAGATTCTTAGTGAACAAAAGACACAAACCAGGGCCAGGGATTTAGCTCAGTGGTTCCGCCCCCTGCCTCGCAAGCAGAAGGTCCCAAGTTCAATGCCCGGTACCAAAAAAAAAAAAAGGACACAAACCATAAAATTATCAACACATTGTACTTAATCAAAATTTTTCAAATATGCTCTTCAAAAGATATACTTAAAATGGAATGAGCTGGGCATGGTGGTACATGCTTGTAGTTCCAGTACTCTGAGAGGCCCACCCAAAAGGATGGAAAGCTGAAACTCAGCCTGGGTAGCTTAGCAACTTTGCGAGATCCTATCTCAAAACAAAAACTAAAAAAGGGCTGGGGATGTAGCAAAGATCTTGGGTTCAATTCCCAGTACTCCCCCCACCCTAAAACACACCCGAAATGACAAGGTGCAGGCTGAGAGAAAATATCCATAGTGTAAATATCAGATGAGAAACTGTATCTGGAATATATAAAGGACACTTTTTATAACACAATTATAAGATAACAAACAAACCAAGTTTTTAAAAAAGGGCCTAGATTATCCACACCACCAAAAAAGAAAAGAAAAAAGTTCTGAACAGTTCACAAATGTCAAGTAAGCATAGGAAAAGATATTCAACATCATTATTGTCAAATAAATATACTAAGATACCACTATACACCAATTTACCTGGCTAAAAATTAAAAGATGGATAATACCAAGTGTTGACAAGAATATGGAATAAATGGAATTCTCACAACCTAGAATGGTAATATAAAATGGTACGTCTAGTTTGAAAGAGTTTGGACAGTTTCTGGGAAAAGAAGCATATACTCATAATGTGATTCAAACAATTCACTCCTAAGTGTGTGTCCAAGTTAAACAGAAATGTAGGTCTACACAAAGACTTATAACAGTAGCCTTATTTGCAAACTTTAAAACTTAGAGACAACCTAAATGCCCTTCAACAAGTGAACGGACCAACAAAATGTGGTTTATTCATGCAACTGAATTATAGGCATCAATAAAAAGAGATGAGTCACAAACATGCGAAATAACAAGGGGCAACAGAATAATTATACCCAGTTAAAGAAGCAAGACCAAAAGTAATGATACAATAAAACCCCATTAATATCAAATTTCAGAAAGTGCAAATCAAGCTAAAGTGACAGGAGGTAGATCACGTGGTTACACTGGAGATTTGTTAGAGGGAAAGTGATTACACAGACCATGAGGAAACTGCTAGCAGTGATACAAATGTTCCGTATCTTAGCCAGGCAAACTGTGGCACACACCTGTAATCCTAGCACATCAGAAGGCTAAGGCACAAAGATCACAAGTTCAAGCCCAAATTTAGCAAGACTGTGTCTCAAAATTAAAAGAAGAACAACAACAAGGCGGGGATGTGGCTCAGTGTGAAGGCCCAAGGTTTAATCCCTAGAACTGGCCCCAAAATTTTTTTTCAGTATCTTGTCATGATGGTTTCACAGTTATATAGGTACATCAAAATTCATCAAACTAAATAAATAATAGAAGTTTATATAATCAGTATGGAGATACCTCAAAGAACGAGGACTGGAAGTCCCATTTGACCCAGCAGGGGTGCTGGGTATCTTCCCAAAAGAATTAAAAGAATTATACCACAGTGATATATGTGTACCCATGTTCATAGCAGCACAATTTATAATAGCTAAAACTTGGAAACAGCCCAAATGCCCATCAACTGCAGACTGGATAAAGAAAATGTGTGGTTTTTTTTATAAAATGGAGTAGTGCTCACCCATAAAAAACCAAGAAATTAGAGACATTTATAGCTATATGGATGCACATTGAGGTGATGCTCTTAAGTGAAATAAATAGGACACACATGTGTAAATACCAAATAGTTTCTCTAGTGTGAGAAACTGAAAGTGTAAATAAGGACTAACAGGTACAATAGATAATGTGAAATAGGAAGAAAAGGGGCAAAGGGGAAGGGGAACTGTGGGGGTGGGGGAAGGAAAGAAGGGAATGGAATTAGTATGAGACAATGAAAAAACGGAAACAAAGTCTTTGTAAATAGGAAGGGATGGAGGGGTTAAAGGGGGGGCAGGGGAATGGGGAAAACATAAGAACCAAGAGAGATTATGTAAAGGTGCAAATTTCCAATGATGAATGTCATTATATTATATGCCTAAAACATACCAATAAAATGAAATTTTAAAGAAGTTTATATCAACTATGCCTTAATAAGTACTTATTAGGGGGATAAGATACAAATAAATGATCTAGTAGGAAAAAATATGAGCATTGCCAACAATTATTATTTTAAAGAAAAGTTAAAATCGGTAACTGCCACAAGAACAAATGATATAGCAAAGTTCTATGATACAGAAAGGCTTCATGAGAAGAAAGAATTTGATCTTGGTCACTTACATCACAAAAAAGGTAAACAAGAACAAAAGAAAATGTGAATAGGGCATTTTAAATCCAAAAAATAGGAATTCTATCAGGATTCCATGAAACAGTGAACTCAGCATAGCAAAGCTGAGGCTGACATTATTAGAGAGGCTTGTTAATTCCTTCTGATCTCTTTGCCCACTTAGTATGGTTCTAATCTGTATCATGACATTGCATAACAAACCTAGAAAGTCTGATCTTGCTATTCAAGTCTCACAGAATCTTCATTTTTACAAGAATAATTATAATGTAAGCAACGAATCAAACACTCAAATTCAAGGACCAGGTCTACATCTTACATTTTAGTTTTCTTATTTATAAACTATTGTAGCAACAATAATAGAATTGATTTTGCATGTTGTCATGAGATACAAATGAGATAACAATGTAACACCAGACTCAAAAAGGTACATTATTATCCTTTTATATGAAAATAAACACAGAGCATGAGACAAAATATAATAAAACATCAGACAGAAATTGTAATGCATCCTAAGCCTCAGCACTGACCTACCTAACTTCCATTTCCATGCTCCATGAGAACAGAGTTCTACAAATCTAAGTTTACTCCCATTTCCACACAGAGGAGTACAGGCCACGAGGTGGAGCCTGCAAAGCATGTCCTATAGGCCAAATGTGGCCCACCAGTTATGTTTGTAAATAAACTTGTATCAGAACACAGCCATGCTCATTTGTTTACAGACAACTGTTTTTCTGCTGTAACAGTGGAGTGGAGAGTTGTGACAGAGACCAAGTGGTTCACAAAGTCTAAAACCTTTACTGTATGACCCTTTACAAAACAGTTTACAAATGTTTGCTGTTAGGTTTTAACATTGTTGATGTTCTGAATAAAGTAGTCTGTATCGACATTTATTCTTTACCTATTATTTATATGGCAATTAGTTACCAAGGAAAATAAGAGCACACAATATGGTACCTGATTTTGGAAAACTTTTGGTAGTCAGTTAGAGAATAAGAAAACTATAAAGAAAACCAAGGGATCTTAAAAATAAGAAAACTGTGATCTAGAGAGACTAATTTAACTAAAGTTTAATAATTATAAATTATAAGAGTAATAAAGAGTAACAGATTTTCTCAAAGGAGAAGAAATATGGCTAGGGGATTGAGGCAGAAAGGGAAACTTTCTTGTGCCTTCTGAATTTGCATTATGATGCATCATCTATTCAGGACAATGCAATAAAGTTTCTAAAAACTATAACACATAAAAACTTTGAAAGCCTGGGAGTATATTGTGACAGACTACTCCCTCCCTAAAGCCTGATTTCTCTTTTTCCCTAGTGAAAGCCTTTTACCTGAGCAGAAGACCACCCAGACAAGACTCCACTTTCCCACTTATAGCTGGGCATGACAACTAATTCCTGGAAAAGGAAAAGCAAGTTACAGCGATGCTGTCAACACCTGCTTCACCTACTTATTTAACTGAAGGCAATAAGCTCAGTAGGCAAGAACTTGAAAGACTTCTTGGAAGTAAGGCTGTAAAAGGGAAATTAATCCCTTGATCATGTTTTATAGGTAGATACAACCAATGCACTTTTTTTCTTTTTCTCTTTCCTTTTCTTTTCTTTCACCCCCACACATACCCTGGCCCCATCCTCAGTACTGAGGATTGAACCCAGGACCTTCAGACTGAGCTACATCCCCAGGACTCTGTATTTTTCATTTTGAGACAAGGTCTCACTAAGTCCCTAAGCTGCACAGGATAGGTTTGAACTTGGAACTCCCTCTGCCTCAGCCTCTCTGAATGTAATGATTACAGGCATCTCATTTGACAGAGAGGTTCCTATGCACAGGAAATGAGCACTGCAGTCTTCCAGAAGAGAACTGCATTGGGACTTACATAGATTTTCCTGATTGGGAAGAAAACAAAGAAAGATGCAGGATGCAAAAAAGGGTAGTTGAGGTTCAGATAATATGAGGGAGGAACTGGAAGTATTTTAAGAATTTTCACTGTAGTAACAAGCAGATCATTACCACCAGGTATTTCTATGGGGTGGACCAAAAGAAGGCA